TAGTTCCAGCTACTTGGAAGGCTGAGGCGGAAGGATCGCCAGAGCCCAGCAGGTCGAGGCTGCGGTGGCTGGGAGCAGCCACTGCCCTCCAGTCTGGGTGACAGAGTGAGACTCCAACTCAAAAAAAAAAAAGCCAGCAGCCGGGCTCAGTGGCTCAGCCTGTAATGCCAATGCTTTGGGAGGCTGAGGTGAGTGGATTGCCTGAGTTCGCGGGTTCGAGACCCGCCTGGGCAACTTGGCGAGACCTCATCTCTACAATAAATCAAAAAATTAGCCAGGCGTGGTATCACGCGCCTGTAGTTCCAGCTACTTGGAAGGCTGAGGCGGAAGGATCGCCAGAGCCCAGCAGGTTGAGGCTGCGGTGGCTGGGAGCATGCCACTGCACTCCCAGTCTGGGTGACAGAGTGAGACCCCAACTCAAAAAAAAAAAAGCCTCACTGAAGGGAGCAGAGCAGAAAAGGACGAACTTACAGGAGGTTTGTTTTTGTTGATCTTGATGGTGAAGTAGGTGGCAGCAGTAACCCGTGGAATGGGTCTCCGAGCAGTTGGAACACTCCAGCGTACACAGTAGATGTAGTGGAAGCTGTGAATTAAGTCTTTCCTCTCTATAAATTCAGTGTAGTGCACCCAGCGATTCTGATACTCCCAAGTCTGTTTCATAGAAAAAAGAAAAAGCACACAGAAAAAGAAAAAAAATACTTCTGTTAAAGTACTGTAGATAAATGCAGTGTGTAACAGTCAGCGTTACAGCTTGGTTCTGGAGCTCACTCCTAACTTTTTTTATTGGGATTCAAACTAAAGTCAACTCCCAATTACCTCCATGGGTAGAGGAGAGAAAAGGTAGAGCTGACATGAAACAAGCAAAGAATACAAACTTCACTTGAGCTTGGCCTTTGGACTGCAGGGGCACACCCTCAGATGTGTGTGTGTACATACACACCATCTCACGACATATAGACCCTGCTTCAGACCCCTTACTTGGGAGGCAAGTTTGGTTAACTGGAAAATAACTAGAAGTTGTTATAACACATGATCTGTTCACCCCAGAAGACCTCAAGGTGTGACTAGAAAATAATGAGGCTGATCTCGCATTTGTGAAAATCAGACTTACTTCATTGTAGCCACAGGTGAAATATAAAATAAGTTCAGAGAGGAATGAGTCAGACAATTGGAAAACCACATCTCTCAGAAAGGACCGACTTCCTTCTCCTTGGAGAAGCTTGCCCCTTTCAAAGCATAAATCTTACTAGTGACGAGAGTTGAAAAAGAGAAAGCATTCCTTGGAATGTCTCCTTTGTCTGGGCCTCTTCTTGGAGTTGAGATGGGAATATAGTCCCACATCTGTGATCTGTGGTTTCTGATATTGAGGGCAGACTTTTTTTTTTTTTGAGTCAGAGTCTCATTCCGTCACCCAAGCTGGAGTGGAGTGGCACGCTCACCACAGCCTCAACCTCCTGAACTCTGGTGATCCTTCCACCTCAGCCTCCCAAGTAGCTGGGACTACAGGCGTACAGCACTACATCCGGCTAATTTTTTTACTTTTTGTAGAGATGAGGTCTCACTATATTTCCCAGGCTGGTCTCGAACTCCTGAACTCAAGCAATCGTCCCACCGTGACTTCCCAAAGTGTTAGGATTACAGGCGTGAGCCACCACACCCAGCTGAAACTTTCACTTTCTAATTTGTGTCTTTTTGCTCTCTGGGTTTTTTAAAATAATGATTTGTCTTTTTTTATTATAAAATTAATTTTAATTGTGTATTAAGTGATGGGGAATCTCCAATGTTTCCTTTATAAAGAACTCTGTATACCTAACCCTGAATTGTACTCCACATCTTCAAAATTAAAAATTAAAATATATATATATATATATATATATATATATATATATAACTCATTTGAGCTGGTCATGGTGGCTCATGCCTGTAATCCCAGCACTTTGGTAGGTTGAGGTGAGAGGACTGCCTGAGGCCACAACTTCGAGACCAGCCTGGGCAACTTCGCAAGACCTTGTCTCTACAATAAATCAAAAAATTAGCTGCATATGGTGGCATGTGCCTGTAGTTCCATCTATTTGGAAAGCTGAGGTGGAAGGATCACCTGTGCCCAACAGGTTGAGGCTGCAGTAGCCGTGAAGCTGCCACTGCACTCCAGCCTAGGCAACAGAGTGAGACTCCAACTAAAAAAAAAACCAAAAAAACTCATTTGCATATTCCTGTTGACAGATTGTGTTCCTGAAGAGAATGAACCAATTATTGTGCCCACTGGCAATGTCTAAGTATATTCTTTCCCACAATTGCACCAGCTTTCTGACACCAGGTTTCATCATTCTTATTCACATTGCAGTACCTTAAAAATTTTAGAATCTGCATTTTTTTCATTGATAATAAAACTCTGCATTATTTTTGTCATCAAAAAGTACTTTTCCTGCTGTGGTGGAAAGAATATATCAGACAGACCTATGATCATAACTTTATTTTGCTGCTTCATCATAGAAACTTTGGACAAATTACCCAACCTCTCTGAGCCTCAGGCTTCCTTGTCTGTAAAATGGGCACACTGATATACCCTACAACACAGGGTTGCCATGAGGATTCGATGAGATAATGCATGGGAAGTGCCCAGCGGTGCTTGGCACATAGCGATGCTCAGTAAGTGGCAACTCCTATTACACCATCCCCTGATGCGTGGTGGACTCTGGGAAACTGGCAATATGCTTGAGAAAGTTCTCCAGCAGAAATGCCTCGCTCTTAGCTACTGAGCCTCACTTCTAGGGTTCACTACATTAGTAGCACTGGGAACAGGGTGGTTTCATGGAATATAGCTCTTTTAGCTTTTTTTCTTTTTTTGAGTTGGAGTCTCACTCTGTCGCCCAAACTGGAGTGCAGTGGCCGCTCCCAGCCACCGCAGCCTCGACCCGCTGGGCTCTAGCGATCCTTCCACTTCAGCCTTCCAAGTAGCTGGAACTACAGGCGTGCGCTACCACGCCCGGCTAATTTTTTGATTTATTGTAGAGATGAGGTCTCGCCAAGTTGCCCAGGCGGGTCTCGAACCTGTGGGCTCAGGCAATCATCTCGCCTCAGCCTCACAAAGTGCTGGAATTATAGGCGTGAGCCACTACACCCAGCTTTTTTCTTTCTCTTTTTGGCAAGCTCTTCTTCATGATGTATCTTTTTAGTCACCTACTGATTGCCCTCACAACAGTCCTACAAAGTAGGTAAGACAAATGCTTTGACCTGACTTTTCATCTGTGAAGAAATAAGGGGAACGAGATAATAAGTCCGTTCACGTATTTGACACAGATTTATTGAGCATCTGTGCATCTGACCTTGCTAGGTGCTAGTGACAGAGCTGCGAACAAAAGTCTCTGCCCTCATGTACCATGATCTGGTGATGAGAGAAAGGTGTTAGGATAAATAAGTAGATGCTAGTACCTCGGGGAAAGAGAAATGTTAAGGGAAAAATGAATCAGAGAATGGGAGAGGGTTGCAATTTAAAGGTGACCAGGAAAGGCCTCAAGGAGCAGGTGATAGTTTTAACAAAGATCTGAAGAGAGGCAAAGCAATAAGCCACGAGAATATATATCTTAGGGGAGGGGTTTCCAGGCAGAGGAAACAGCAAGTGCAAAGGTCCTGTGGTGGGAACATGCCTGGCAGTTAAGGAACAGCAAGAAGAAAAATATGACTAAGTGAGGAAGGTAAAAGCAGGGAAGGTAGTAAGTGATGGAAGCTAAACCATAAGTTGCAAGAGGGCAGCGGACTTAGATTACATCAGGCTTTGTAGACCATTGTCAGGACTTACTTTTTAAAAATAATTTTATTTACTTATTTATTTGAGACAGGCGCTTTCTCTGTCATCCAGACTGGAGTGCAGTGGCAGGATCATAGTTTATTGCAGTCTCAAATTCCTGGGCTTAAGTGATCCTCTTTCCTCAACCTCCCAAGTAGCTGGGACTACAGGCACACACCACCACACCTAGCTAACTTTTTTATTTTTATTTTCATAGATACGAGGTCTCTCTATGTTCCCTAGGCTGGCGGTCAATGTCTCGATCACAGCTCACAGCAGCCTCAATCTTTTGGCCTCAGGTGGTCCTCCCACCTCAGCCTCCCGAGTATCTGGGACTACAGGTACACACCACCATGCCCGGCTAATTATTTCTTATTATTCTTTGTAGAGACAGGTGTCTCACTAAGTTGCCCAGGCTAGTCTTGAACTCTTGAACTCAAGTGATCCTCCTGCCGCAGTCTCCTAAAGTGCTGTAGTTACAGGCGTGAGTCACCACCCTGGCCAGGACTTACCTTTGCCTTTTACTCAGAATGATCTGCAAGGGAAATTTTTTTTTTTTTTTTTTTTTGAGTTGGAGTCTCACTCTGTCGCCTAGACTGGAGTGCAGTGGCCGCTCCCAGTCACCGCAGCCTTGACCTGCTGGGCTCCAGCCATCCTTCCACCTCAGCCTTCTGAGTAGTCGGAATTACAGGCATGCACCACCACGCCCGATTTTGTGATTTATTGTAGAGATGAGGTCTCGCTGCCCAGGCGGGTCTCGAACCCGCAGGCGCAGGCAATTCACTCACCTCAGCCTCCCAAAGGCGCGGGATTACAGGCTGAGCCACCGTCTGCTTGCTCTGTGTTCCATTCTAGTCTGATTTGAGAGCCCTGGTGCACATCTCCACTCAGGGCAGGAAGGCTCAAGGGCTACTCGCACCATTCATCTTCTCCAGATGCTCCTCTGAATGTGAGTGGCGAGTGGTGCCCAGTGGAGCATAGACGGAGGAGGTGGAGCCAGAAATTCCTGACTTTTCCTCTTTCCCACCTGACCAGATCTCCTTAAAACCTTAGAAAACTGCCCCGAGGTCTATAGGCTTTGATGGGCTGGCCAGAAGAACAGAGACAGCTGGAACTTTTTGAGGGGTGCAGGGTGGGAATTTACCTCCACCAATTTCAACTGGTCTCTGTTCCATGGAAGTACAATGAGAAGGGATTTCAAGCCATTCTTCTTTATTCACTTAATGCGAAGCAACCCAGGGCCTTCTCTGCAAAGCTACCAGGATAAGTCACACAAAGGGGTCAGAGCCAAACACAGATAGGAAAAAATAAGGAATTTGCAGGCATGTACAGCTTGCCATGTGGGCAATACATTCCAAAGCCAATTCAAAAAGACTTCAGAGTCAGCCGGGTGCAGTGGCTCATGCCTATAATCTCAGCACTTTGGGAGGCCAAGGCAAGAGGATTGCTTGAGCCCCGAACATTGAGACCAACCTAGGCATCATAGCCAGAACTTATCTCTTCAAAAAAAAAAAAAAAAAATGACTTAGGTGTGGTGGCATGTGCTTATAGTCCCAGCTACTTGGGAGGCTAAGGCAGGATTACCTGAGTTTAGGAGGTTGAGGCTGCAGTGAGCCATAATGGTACCACTGCACTCCAGCTTGGGTGACAGAGTGAGACCCCAACTCAATAAAGATTTCAGGGAGCGTAAATCACTCTACCAAAAAAATACTTCTACTCGTATGTTTATCACAACACTATTCACAGTAGCAAAAACATGGAACCAACCCAGGTGCCCATCAACGGTGGACTGGATAAAGAAAATGTGGTACATATATACCATGGAATACCACACAGCCATGAAAAAGAACAAAATCATGTCTTTGTAGCAACAACGATGCAGCTAGAGGCCATCATTCTAAGTGAATTATCACAGAAACAGAAAACTGAATACCAGATATTCTCATTCATGAGTGGGAGTTGGCTAGGTGCAGTGGCTCATGCCTGTAATCCCAGCACTTTGGGAGGCCGAGGCGAGAGGATTTTCTGAGCCCAGGGATTCAAGACCAGCCTGAGCAACATGGCAAGACCTCATCTCTACAATAAATCAAAAAATTAGCCAGGGGTGGTAGCACGTGCCTGTAGTTCTAGCTACTGGGAAGGTTGAAGCGGAAGGATCTTCTGAGCCCAGCAGGTTAAGTCTGTGGTAGCTGTGAACGTGCCACTGCACTCCAGCCTGAGCAACAGAGTGAGACTCCGACTCAAAGTTAAAAAAAAAAAAAAGTGGGAGTTAAACACTGGATACACACAGGCATAAGGATGGGAATAATAACCACTGGAGACTCCTAAAAGGGGGAGGGAGGGAGGAGGGAGAATAAGGGTTGAAAAACCACACATCGGATACCATGCTCACCACCTGGCTGATGGGCTCTATGGAATATACTTATGTAACAAATCTGCACATGTACCCATTGAATCCAAAATTTTTAAAGGGAGGCTGGGCACAGTGGTTTCCACCTATAATCCCAGCACTTTGGAAGGCCAAAGCAGGAGCATCACTTGAGCCCAAGAGTTAGAGACCAATCTGGGCAACATAGTGAAACCTCATCTCTACAAAAAATACAAAAATTAGCCAATGTGGTGACATGCACCTATAGTCCCAGCTAATTGGGAGACTGAGGTGGAAGAATCACCTGAGCCCAGGAGGTTGAGACTGTGGTGAGCCATGATCATGTCACTGCACTTTAGTCTGGACAACAGAGTGAGACTCTGACTCCAAAAACAAACAAATAAATAAATAACAATAATTTTTACAGTAAAAAATAAAGCCATTGGATCCATCTGCATTCCCTCCATTACCAGGAGCATTCTAAAATTGGTGGTAAATTATTCTGGAGGATAGTCTCCCTCCTCAGTCCACTAAGCACCCATTTAATGCACCAGCATGAACAAATTGCTTAACTGGGAATATCAGCTTTCCTAGGGAAATGTAAGTTCAGAATGATACAAACACAGGGAAGTATGTGCTTTTCACCTTCAAAGACTCTCCCACTTTGACTTTGGAACCAAGATGAAGACAATGTTTACTTACTCTGGTCACCTTTGACATCATCGCCTAGGTTTTCTAAACTTCATAACTTTGGATCAAATGAGGCTTTTTTATTGTCCATCACTCTTGTGTACCAAACAAGAGTGGTCAATTAACTTACCAAAACAAACTCCTCAATATTTCTACGGCCCCTTTCCTCTGTGAATTCACCATGTGTGATCCACTTGACATTTTTGATGGGGTGTTCAGCGTCTGTAAACAAGGTGTAAGTGTGTTAGTTGCCTGGTAGTGTGGCACTACATGATGAGATAATTCCTCAGACATCCAGACAGTATTACTACCTTCCACAATCTGAATAGCAGCATTGATGACCTCCTGAACAAGAGCGAGAGCCACTTCATTCACTTTGTTATGTTCTATAATCACCTTTTTCTTGCTTGTAGGTTTGTTATCCATTGTCTTCTAAATTTTTAAATTTTTAGTAACATTCACTTTTTTTTCCTGAAGAAAGAAACTCAAGAAGTGACTCACCGTGCGTGTACCTGTGTATACACACAAAAGAACACATTCATTTAAGTACAGACCCTCTCTTGAAGAACCATAAGATGCAGGAAACAGTTGTCAACTCTAGGGAGGGGACTAGGAGTTTGGGATGAGAGTGAGCCTGCTGCTAAGATCTACTTTTCCTGAAAACCAAGGATTTTCACATTCTTAAAATCACGAAGACTTGAATCGAAATAGAAGAGAATGATTTCTAACTTCTTTGAGTACCAACAATACTGACTTCTAGTTGAGTCTTTAATAGAATCCCAGTCTTTGATAGGAGCAACTGAGGGCACCTGTCTCTTTATGGACGGCCTTAAAATGAAGGTGGGCATAGTGGTGCACCCCTGTAATTCCAGGTACTTGAGAAGCTGAAGCAGGAGGATCTCTTGAGTCCAGGAGTTTGAGAACAGTCAGGGCAACATAGTGAGACCCCTCCCTATCTTAAAATTTTTTAAGCATAAAGATATTGTTAAAAATGAGTAGGAGCATTACAGCAAAGTAGGATTGGTTTTGCAGATTTTTCTCTTGGGTTTTTCAGGTACAGTATACAATTATATCATCTCCAAAAAACCATCACTTTTTACCATCTCTTTTCTTGGAATATTTATTTCTTATGAGTACTAGCTTTGATAAACATTTACAGCAAAATGAAAGATGGAGATAATGAGCATTCTTTTTTGTCTCACTTCAATGGGCTTGCTTTCTGGTGTTATACCATTAAGTATGATGCTGGGGTTTTTAAAAAAAATTGCTGGGTGCAGTGGCTCATGCCTGTAATCCCAGCACTTCGGGAGGCGGAGGTGAGAGGATTGCCTGAGCCCATGGGTTTGAGACTAGCCTGGGCAACTTGGCAAGACCTCATCTCTCAATAAACCAAAAAACTAGCTGGACATGGTGGCACACACCTGTAGTTCCAACTTACTTGGAAGGCTGAGGCAGAAGGATTGCCTGAGCCCAGCAGGTCAAGGCTGTGGTAGCCATGAGCATGTCACTGCACTCCAGGAGCCTGGGTGACAGAGTGAAACTCCAACTCAAAAAAATAAGTAAATTTTTTGGCTGGGCTTAGTGGCTCAGCCTGTAATCCCAACACTTTGGGAGGCCGAGGTGAGTGGATTGCCTGAGCCCACGGGTTCGAGACCCACCTGGGCAACTTGGTGACACCTCATCTCTACAATAAATCAAAAATTAGCCGGGTGTGGCAGCACGTGCCTATAGTTCCAGCTGCTTGGAAGGCTGAGGCGGAAGGATCACTGGACCCTAGCAGATCGAGGCTGCGGTGGCCAAGAGCGTGCCACTGCACTCCAGTCTGGGCAACAGAGTGAGACTTCAATTAAAAAAAAAATTAAATTTTTTTTGTAGAGATGAGATCTCGCTATGTTGCCCAGGCTGGTCTCAAACTCCTGGGCTCAAGCAATTCTCCTGCCTTGGCCTCCCAAAGTGCTGAGATTATAGGCACCTGAGTGATGCTGACTCTATGCTTTGAGACTGACCACATCAGAAAATATTTGCTCCTGTTCTAGGAATATTATTACCACAAATGATAGCTAACATTTTCTAAATGCCTTTAATATGTATTGACAATGTGAAAATTGGAATTATTGGGCCTGTGAACATGGGTCCATCACAGAGCTAGGAGTCTTGCACATTGTCAGTCTTTTTTTTAATATCTTTTCCCTTGAATCTTCGATTTTCTTTCCCTACTACTGTTTACGTCTCTTCCTTGGATTCTCTTTCCCTGCTACTGTTTGTCTCTTCACTAATGAGAAATCACTTACTTCCAGCATAGTTTTAAATTTCAAGCAAGCAATCCTTGCATTAGGGGGCTGCGTGAGAGTGAGTATCTCTCTCCACAGGGAGCTATTTATGTTTCCATAATTTACAGCTCCCAATTTTGGGGTGTTTAACAGCTCCCAATTTGGGGGTGTTTCATTTAACTCTCACCACAGTCCTACAAGATCATGCACTGGACACCTTCCATTTGCCCTTCCAGATCCATCCTCCATCTCTCCCTGCTTGTTTCCCCAGTTAGGCTAAGCTGACTGGACCAGTGAATGAGCTCTCCCATGTCCTCTGACTTCCAGAAGCTTCCACACAATAGGGAGGTTGGGCTGAAGGGAGGAGAGTGAAGTTGAAATCTAACAGGGACGCCGGTGGCTGGCTGCATGGAGAAGATCTCTGTTTCTCTCAGGGCAGCTCTCTTGCAACTTCTCAGTCTGGCAAAGGAAACCACTCTCCCCTCAACCTTTTGGGCCCCGCTGTTTTGTTTTGCTTTGCTTTATTTTAGATTTTAGGTACACATGCATGTTTGTTACATGGACATATTGTGTAGTGGTGGGAATTGGGTCTCAGGTGGCCCATTCCCCAGATTGTGAACATTGAGCCCCATAGGTACTTTCTGAACCCTAACCCTCCTTCCCACCTTCCCCCTTATTGGTATCCACAGTGTCTATTACTTCTATCTTTGTGGCCATTTAGCTCCCACATATAAGTGAGAACATGTGGTGTTTGGTTTTCTGTTTCTGAGTCCGTTCACTTGGAATGATGATCTCCAGCTCCATCCATGTGGTTGCAAAGGACATGATTCCATTCTCTTTCTTTGGCTGTGGGACCCACTGTTACTAGCCCCAGGAAGCTGCACTTTCCGTTGTGTTCCCTATACTCTGGCCACATCTTTGTAACTATTTTTTTTTTTAATTGAAGTCTCATTGTCACCCAGGGTGGTGTGCAGTGGCATGCTCAAGGCCACCGCAGTCTCAACTTCCTAGGCTCAAGTGATCCTTCCACCTCAGCCTTCCAAGTAGCTGGAACCACAGGTGCGTACCACTCCTGGCTAATTTTTTTTTTTTTGTAGAGACGCGGTCTCCCCAAGTTGCCTGGGCTGATCTCAAACCCCTGGGCTCAGGTAATCCTCTCGCCTCCGCCTCCCAAAGTGCTGGAATTACAGGAGCGAGTCACTGCGTCCGGCCTACTTCATTTAACCCTTCTTCAACTGTCCTCATTTTAGCATGCCAGCAGTTTACTACAGGGACCTTGAGTCATAAACAGAAGGAGTCTCGTTGTCATGGGAAAAGGAGGAAACCAAGCTATACACCCACGTTGTCTGGCTCCACAGCCTGTGCTCTTCACTATGCTGCTCTTCTCCCTCCGAGATTCAGAAAGGGGAGTGGGGGCCTATTCTCACATGTTCATCTGGAGTCACAATGCACCTACTCTCTCTCTTTCTGAGAACCTGTTTCACGAATGTCAACCCTCTGTTTCCTTTATCAATATCATCACTGGTCCCAAGGGGTGGTGGATACCGTACAAGGCAACTCAGTTCCCATGGCCATCAGTCCAAGGATGCTTTGCATAGCCTTTGGGCATCCTGCAATAACGTTGACTGCTATTCATTTTGACCTTGATATTAGCACTTTAAGCTGTTTGCCTCTGCCTCAGTTTCCTGTTGCTGAAGTTGAAGGGTGGACAGGTTCACCGGCTAGAGGACACGGAGTCTTTCCGGACTGTCCATTCCAGAGCAGGAGGGGACTAAAGAGTGGTGGGTGAGGGGTCTGAGGGTTCTTAGCACTAGAGGCCTGGCCCTCCCTTAGTCCTTACCAGAGGTCCTCAAACTTTTAAAACGGGGCCAGTTCACTGTCCCTCAGATCGTTGGAGAGGCGAACTATAGTTTAAAAAAAAAAAGCTATGAACAAATTCCTTTTTTTTTTTAAACTATAATCCGCCCCTCCAACGGTCTGAGGGACAGTGAGCTGGCCCCCTGTTTTAAAAGTTTGAGGACCCCTGCCTTAGGCCATGTCAGTTTAGCCAAAGCAATTTGCTGTAAACTGTAGCTGAGGACAACCACACAAAAGTTTTTGTGTACATTGGTAAGTTCAGTAGGCTTTGGTGAGATAGCCTTACAGCAACCTGATCCTTCAGAAAATTGCCCATTTGGTAACTTGGTCATTCAGTGACTTGGCTTTCGCCAAATTGCCTATTAATAAATTGACTAGAAGCCAAATATGTGATCTCCAACACTCAGCATACGGGGTGGACACTTTATGCATGGAAGGATCCCCTTAAGACCTTCCCCAGGAAGCCCTATGACCCAACAGGAGAGGGAAGGTGGGAAGCAGGGCCCAGGAGGAAGCTCACTTTTTATCCTCACACGTCTGTGGGCACACACTATTCTAAAGCCCCCTCCCATGGTCTCTCCTGGTTCTTTTTCTTCTCTTCCTAATAAGAGGCCAGACGGGTAGCATGAATGGGAAGAGGTGGGGGCATAGTCAGATCTGTGATCTGGGTGATAAATAGGAACAAACAATGAAGGCCCTTTTTGTGTACTATCCCACCCCCAAGAAACCCTAATACCTGAATGACCAGATCCTTGTTTGAAGCAGTAGCAGCAGTAATTGAAGAAGCCCCAGAAGGAGTCTCTCAACAGCTTTCTTCCAAGATTCCCCAACAGAATGTTTACAAGTGCTGCCATAGCAACATCAATTTCAACCAATGGGAAGAAAAGCCCACTCTGCTGCTGTTACTAAAGGAGCGTGAAACCGGAGGGAGTGAGGGAAGGAGGGGAAGAGTCGGTCACAGCAACTATCTGACCTCAACAACAGGGCCAAGCTGTCACAATGAACTTCTCAGCAGGAGATGAGCTTGCAGGGCTGTGCCAGGTGAAATAATGATGGCTAGCCTCACAGCTGTTATGTATTGGGGAGCCTTTATGATGCGCTACTCACTGTTAAGCCTTCCATAAGTGTTAAGTCATTTACTCCTCACAATGGCACCCTGAGGTGTGTATTAGTACTTTCATATTACAATGGAAAAAACCGGGCCGGGCTCAGTGGCTCAGCCTGTAATCCCAGCACTTTGGGAGGCTGAGGCGAGTGGATTTCCTGAGCCCATGGGTTCGAGACCCACCCAACCAACTTGGTGAGACCTCATCTCTACAATAAATCAAAAATTAGTCGGGCGTGGTAGCACATGCCCGTACTTCCAGCTCCTTGGAAGGCTGAGGCGTAAGGATCACCGGAGCCCAGCAGGTCGAGGCTGCAGTGGCCGGGAGCATGCAACTGCACTCCAGCCTGGGTGACAGAGTGACACTCCAACTCAAAAAGAAAAAAAAAAAAAAAGAAAAGAAACGAAACCGAGGCACAGAGAGTGTTAAGTAAGTTGTCTCAAACTCAAACCCTGAGCTGTCTGACTTCATTGAACTTTTACTTTTTTATTTCCAAATTCTGAGGTTAGGACTTCCCTCCTGAATGTTTTCAAAGATGTCTTCTGTGAATGAAGGGTGAGAGAGCGTACATTGTAATGCTTATCAGCACAGATTCAGGAACAATTTACTTAACACTGGTCTTTCTCAGTTTGTTTGTCTATGAAATGGGGATAATAATTATGCCTACAGAATAGGGTTTTTATGGGGATCAAACCAGACAATCCATGTGAAGACTGAAAACAGTACCTGGTGTGTCGTAAGTTTTCTATAATGGTTGGATATCATTCCTAGTATTATTATTAATAGTAGTGGTATCATAAATAGTAATATTTTAAATGGTCTTAACTGGTGAAATGAAAAGTTGATGACCCTATGTCAAGACCCAGTTTTACGTAAATTTTATTAGTCCCTGAAATCTCAAGTCTCAGAATCCCTGCTCTTAACTATAACTATGCTCTGTAGATAGAGTGATTGCTCACTATAAGACAAGGGTCCTTAGTCCTAACAAAGGAAGCAAAGTGCTTGTGTCTTTTTTTTTTTTTTTTTTTTTGAGTCAGATTCTCACTCTGTCACTCAGGCTGGAGTGCAGTGTCACACTCACGATTTCCACTGCCTTGACCTGCTGAGCTCAGACAATCCTTCTACCTCAGCCTTCCAAATAGCTGGAACCACAGGCGTGTGCCACCACCCTTGGCTAATTTTTTAATTTATTGTAGAGATGAGATCTCACCAAGTTGCCCAGGCTGGTCTTGAACCTCTGGGCTCAGGCAATCCTCTCTCATCAGCCTCCCAAAGTGCTGGGATTATAGGCATGAGCCACCGTACTTGGTTTGTTAAGTCTTTATCCAGGAAGAAATGTTGAGCTCACTGCCTGTAAGACATCATACCCCAGAGATGGTGCTATGGAGGTGGAGTGCTGACGCAGGGGAATGGGGGTGGAGAGGAAGAAGTGTGGGAGGCAGTGTGGCTTAGGAGGAACACAGACAACGAACACAGATACAGCGTTTCAAATCCCAGCTCTGCCACATACTGGTACTGATATGTGGTGACTTCAGGCAGGTTGTTTCAACTCTCTGAGCCTCATGTGTACAATGGGAATCTTAATAGTAACTTCACAGGGTTGATGGGAAGATGAAATGGGGTGATTCATATAAAGCACTCAGAACAAGAATAGGCACGCTGTAGGTGTTCAATAAGTATTAGTTACCACAATCATGATGAAGACGAGACTAACCACAACAGGCGGAACCGAAAAGCAGAGGAACCAGAAAAAGTCCACACTCCCCTGAAGTTGGGGGAATTTTCCCAGTGCTCCAGGGACAAGCATGTCATGAGCTTCCACTCAGCAGAATCATTGCCCAGCCAAGTCACAAGGAGAACTCGTGTGGACACAGTTATTAGTGGGTACGTAAGTTCCAGAGCTAGAATCCCGTCAGTGAGGGTGACTGGCCTCAGTTCTGTTCGCTGGTCTGACTCCCATAAAGTCCATCAGATCAACTGCCATGAACCCTCTAGTACCACAGCTGGCTGGGAGCCACAGCCCTGACTTCTCTTGGGTTAAGGGGAGGCTGGTTGTGCTTCTGGAACAGGAGTTGGAAATAGGCCCCATAGTAGCTGCGTTCCAAAGAACAGAGCTCTGGCTTCCTTTGGTCAAGCTTGGATGGGCAAAGGCAACAAGACCTCTTCCCGGCAGCCCTGAGCCACTGGTGAAAGAGAGGCAAGTGGTGAGGACCTGATGTGGGAGACCGGTATGGGATTCTTCATTGCCCAGAGGAGAGAGACATGCAGGCCTGAGATGAGAAGCTCTGTGCAGGCAAACCGCTTTCATGGGGGGCGGGTGGACAGGAGAGATTTCCCAGCAGATTAGAAAGTCTCCTTCTCTTGACTGGGCAGGAGTGACCTCGTCTCTACAAAAAGGGCTTTTATGGGGGATCAAACCAGACAATTCGGGGCAAAACCTCGTCGCTACAAAAAAAAAAAAAATCAAAAAATTAGCTAGGCGTGTTGTAACGTATCTGTAGTCCCAGCTACTCGGGAGGCTGAGGCGGAAAGATCACCTGAGTCCAGAAGTCGAGAGCTGATGGTGCCCCAGCGTTCCAGCCTGGGCGACAGAGTGAGGCCTTGGCTCAAAAAAAGGAGGGGTCGTTCCTTAAATCAAAAGCTTAAACTCCGTGACTGGAACTTTCCCAGCCTCATCCTACGTCACTCACGGAAGTGGACAAATTCTGTCCTCTAGGGGGCTCTCCAGGTTGAGAGAACTTTTGTTTTGTTTGTTTTAATTTAGAGACAAGATCTCACTGTGTTGCCTAGGCTGGTCTCGAATTCCTGGGCTCAAATGAGCCTTTCGCCCCGGTCTCCCGACGTGCTGGGATTGCAGGCGTGAGCCACCGGGCCCGGCCAGAGAGACCTGTTGAACTCTGCGCAGCGCGGAGGACAGGTCTAACAAACTGTGCCTCACTCGTATGCTAGTGCAGGTACATGTGGAGAAGATGGCCCGGAAGCCCGAGCCGGAGGAGACAGCTAAGAGGAACAGGTGGGGCAGAGGAGGAACTGACTAGAGGCTTACCAAGCTCAGCACCTCCTTCCCCGGGCAGGAAATAGACGTGGCTGGCAGGAAGCCCCAAGCCCAAGCTCCCACAGCGCCTCCTCTGCACCCCGCCCTGCCCCACCCCCGCCACGAGCCTCACAAAGCTCAGGACGATGCTGGGGGGGAGGGCGCTGGCTGGCCACGTAACCGATGCACAAAGACGTGCCGCCCCGGAGCTGCACCGGCCCTTGCAGACCTCGGCGATGCAGCTGGGCCACGGGGAGTTTGCGCCCCTTCCGCTCCCTGGAGCCGGAGAACGGGCCGCTCGCGAGTGCCCTGCCCTCCTTGCTTGGGCTTCCCGAGGCTGCTTGGAGCCGGACAGACCGCCAGGGGACGACAGGGCTGGCGCCTCACTGGCCCTGCATGTGGTGATTCTGGGGGATTTGTATCTGGGATATTGTGCAGGTTCCTGCACTCCTAGCTTCTTTCTGAATTGAGGAAATCCCGAGAGATGCCCTAGACGGGGTGGTCGACATAAGAGTACAAGGATGAAGGGATAGAGCTAAAGTCGTGGGCCGTCTCTTCGGCACTCCACACCTTGGATCTTGAGTTATTCTTTTCCACCTGTGTGTCCGCCATTATTTTCATTTATCTTCTTATTCTTCCCCCTTCTACCTCCTCTTCCCCCTCACCCCATGCCTAGAAAGGCTGCTGCCTCTCAGCGATGAAGACCAGGCTAAACGCTGGCATTCTCTTGTCAAATGAACCCAGTCAGCCTGCATGCATGAATCTTTCAAAGTACCTCGAAGGTGCACAGGCGGCAGTAATTATGAGAAGCAAAGCTGACTAGAACAAGGGTACCACCCTCAATGCACTCACAATCTAGTTGGGAAGATAAAGCATGTTCACATGAAAATATAACTAGCAAGTCAAAGCAAGGGACAGTGAAGTGCTTCCTGACCCAAACCACAGGGCATGCTGGATTTGGGCAGGTCCTAAGCGAGTGTGGCTGAGTGGGCTGAGTGACATCACTTCAAGTCTAGAAGGCCACCAGACTCTGGAGGAGGGAAAAGGTGGGAGAGCCCAGGGCCTTTCTCAAGCAGAGGCCTGGTCTCTGACAGTAAAGGCTGCAGACCTAAGTACAGTGCTACTTAGGCCCAGATGGGTGGGTTGCTGAGCATCACAAAGTCACAAAGACCTATAACAACCCTTGCACATGAATGCCTTATTGACTAGCGCCATGCTCAGAATAAAAGTACTATGGTAAAGCTGTTCCTGAATGGCTGAAATTTTTTGTCTCCCTCCGTCGCCCAGGCTGGAGTACAGTGAATTTTTTAATGGTAATGCCTTGATGTTCAGGTTCATGGTCATAACTACAGTGGGCTGCTCTTATAGGCACTGGATGAAAATTTCAGAGTTGCCTCTCTAGAGACCTGACCAAGCCCACCTTAAATACTAAGTTCTTAGAGATAAGGGCAGGCTTCTGGGGCTGGGCTACTTTTGGGCCTCTAGAAATGTCGTGTATTCGGCTTAGAAGGAAATGCTATCTGCTGAATGAAACCAATACTCCCTAGCCACATGACACAATATGAGGGGGAGCCCCCCCAAAACTGGAATTATCTTTTGGAGGGCAGACCCCTTATAGTACACTCGGAATTTGTTCCTTCAGATCACTCACTCAACCAAAGTTTTTATCTGGAAGTTTTGAGAAGGTTACATCATGATTTGCAAAATAAATGTCCTGAGTGTGGCAAACAGGTTCTTCCACCATGACAATGCACCTGCCCAGACGGTGCTGAATGTTTGGCAGTTTTTTTTACCAGAAACAGCATGATCCCCGTGCTCCACACTCCCTAGTCACCTGATCTCGCCCCTGAGCAACTTTTTTTTATTCCCTGGATGAAAAAAGTCCTCAAAGGAAAATGTTTTGCTGACGTGGAAGAGGTGAAACAAACAAAAACGGAAGAAGCATTAAAAGGCATCAATATGGCTGAGTTCAAAAACTGTTCTGAGCAGTAGAAAAAGCATCTCTATAGGTGTACAGCATCAAACGGAGAGTACTTTGAAGGTGACTGAAGTTTAACCGTGCAAGAATACACAATTTTTTATAAATGAATTCTGAGTTTTTTGGGTCCCACTTCGTATACCAAAGATACTCTTAAGCACATGCAAAATATTATTGTCTTCTAGGGACAGCAATGCCCAGTGTTCCCAATATTTTCCCTACCTCCTTTCCATTGCCTTTGGGATTATGGTCCCTTAGGGTCATAGTAGAAACTGCATGCTTGTTTATAAATTTGGTTAACTAAATTTTATCACTCTCTAGCCCAAATATAATCATTGATTTCTCCATATTTTCTGAAACTGAGGAAGGTATCTACCAAGAAACAAAACAACAGATGATACCAAATATGTTCAAACAAATAAAGCAACAGTTACATGGGTTTACACAAGGAATATCAGCTGGGCCATTTTCTCAGTGATGTCCTGAAAAATACAATTATGTGTCCAGTCCTGAATCAAGGTTTGTGGAAATCCTAAAAGCAATTATTTGGATCTTCATTGCAGAAAAGTCTTTGGAGTTGAAGGAAGGTATATTACGCCAACAGCATAAGACAGAGAGTACACAGATATGCCAAATAGATTCTTAACAATTAAAGATTATGTAACCATAGCATAGGATTTACATTCTTTACAGGAATTTCTGCCTTTTATTAAAAATGCATCAAAATGTGAAGGTGTTAAGAACATTCCTAGGCCGGGAGCGGTGGCTCATGCCTGTAATCCCAGCACTTTGGGAGGTAGAGGTGAGAGGATTGCCTGAGTCCAGGAATTCGAGACCAGCCTGAGCAACTTGGTGAGACCTCATCTCTACAATAAACCGAAAAAATTACCCGGGCATGGTGTTGTGTGCCCATGGTCCCAGCTACAGGGAAGGCTGAGGTGGGAGGATTACTTAAACCCAGGAGGTCAAGACTGCAGTATACTATGATCTCACCACTGCGCTCCAGCCTGGACAACAGAGTGAGACCCTATTTAAAAAATAAAAAGCCGGGCATGGTGGTTCACACCTGGAATCCCAGCACTTTGGGAGGCTGAGGCGAGAAGGATTGCCTAAGTCCACAGGTTCGAGTCCAGCCTGGGCAACTTGGCAAGACCTCGTCCCTACAATAAATCAAAAAATTAGCCAGGCATTGTGGCTCATGCCTGTAGTTACAGCTACTTCAAAGGCTGAGATGAAAGGATCGCCTGAGCCCAGCAGGTTGAAGCTGCGGTGGCCGGGAGCGTGCCACTGCACTCCAGCCTGAGTGACAGAGTGAGACTCCAACTCAAAAAAAAAAAATTAGCTGGGCATGGTGACGTACACCTGTAGTTCCAGCTACTTGGAAGGCTGAAGCAAAAGGATCGCCTGAGCCCAGCAGGTCAAGGCTGCTGTGGCCATGAGTATGCCAGTGCACTCCAGCCTAGATGACAGAGTGAGACTCTGACTCAAAAAAAAAGTTTCCTAAAGGGCAGAGTCATTCTCTTTTTTATGTGTATGACTTTCCTCTATCTTTTTGCAAAGTCTTTTCCTATTGACTATTTTATTTGACCCTGGAAATAACTATAGCAACCTGGTAGATGTAATTTCAAACAAGAACCATTTTCTTCCAAACAAGTGGTGAACAGGGTATGTCAGATGCTACTGTTGCATACAAACAGAACATATGTATTTATATGTGCATAAAGGAACCCTTTGGGGTGGTGTGATAATTGACAGGTACTGAGTAGGGCACAGTGGCTCACACCTGTAATCCCAGTACTTTGGGAGGCCAAGGCGGGAGAACTGTTTGGGCAACACAGTGAGACCCCCATCACTACAAAAAAAAAGTCCTTTCAACTGCATACCTTATATTGTTGGATTTTTTTAGTTGTGACTATAACATATTTTTCCTTTAAATAAAGACAGTAAATAAAACCAAACAAATGGCATTGTTTCCTAAGCAGTATTTTTCAACAGGCCTTAAGAGGTGACACATCCAAGGTCAGTGGCTAGACCTCATCTGTCAAAGCTGCTTTTAAGAAAACCCTTCTAGCCGGGTGCAGTGGCTCACACCTGTAATCCCACCACTATAGGAGGCTGAGGCGAGAGGACTGCCTGAGCCCAAGGGTTCAAGACCAGCCTGGGCAACTTGGCAAGACCTCGTCTCTACAATAAATAAATGAATAAATTAGCTGGGTGTGGTGGCAAACATTTGTGGTTCCAGCTACTTGGAAGGCTGAGACAGAAGGATCACCTGAGCCCAGCAGGTCAAGGCTGTGGTGGTTGTGAGCATGCCACTGCATTCCAGCCTGGGCAACAGAGTGAGTTTCTGACTAAAAAAAAAAAAAAACTTAGTGTTCTCACTGAAGTCCTGATGTCATCTGTGGCATTGCTATATACAATGGAGTATCACCATCTTTACAGTAGTTACACCTTTTCAGGTCTTCATATTATTTGGTTACCTTTAATGTTGAACATGCAATTCTTGGTTTCAAGTGACCAGTATCCTCTCATGTTAATAAACCACATGACTGCTGTTGCTGCTCTACACTAAGATAAAAATCAACACTTAAGCATATAGGATGTATTAGATACTGTATAGAATGCATGAAAGTTGATGGTGTAATCTCAGTTTTAAAAGTGTCCCAACTGGAATTTTAAACACTGTAGGATCCACTGAGTAAAAGAACTAGAAAAAAACAGCCTGCCGGGCTCGGTGGCTCAGCCTGTAATCCCATGCTTTGGGAGCCCACGGGTTCGAGACCCGCCTGGGCAACTTGGCGAGACCTCATCTCTACAATAAATCAAAAAATCAGCTGGGCATGGTAGCGCGTGCCTGTAGTTCTGGCTACTGGAAGGCTGAGGTGGAAGGATCGCCAGAGCCCAGCAGTTTGAGGCTGCGGTGGCCGGGAGCGGCCACTGTACTCCAGTCTGGGTGACAGAGTGAGACTCCAACCCCAAAAAACCAAAAACATCCTGAGCAACATAGCAAGACCTTGTCTCTACAAAAAATAAAAAAAAATCGCCAGGCGCGGTGGCACATTCCTGTAGTCCCAGCTACTAGTGAAGCTGAGGCAGAAGGATCGCCTAAGCACAGGAGGTTGAGGCTGTGTAGAGCCGTGACCGTGCCAATGCAGTCCAGCAAAGGTGACAGAGTGAAACCCCCAATTCAAAAAAAAAAATTACTTTTTCTGTATATTCCTAGTAATCTATACAATTAAATTAAGTATATAATTAAATATAATTATTATACTTTAAAAATTGTGTTTTTAAATATAATATCTATCAAAATGGTAGCAACTACATTGTGGTAGCTGGGCAAAGACAGGTGTTTGATGTACATTATGTCTGTAATTATACCAGACTCACAGTTGTTCCTAGTTTTTTTTTTTTAAGTGATAAAGGGTACACTGGGTAGATTGCTTGATCTTGTGTAGTATATTTTAAAAAAATAAACACCTTTGATTTCTGTTCATTTTATTTCCATTAAGCACTACATAGCACACTGCATGCTACATAATATACTTCATAACCTTCTAGCAAGGGTAAATGACCACAACTCAGTCATTTTTTCATCAGTCAGGAAAATGCTTCCTTAATCAATGTTCTCCAAACCCTGAAAAACAGTTTAAAAAGGAGAATGTGAGAATTTGCCATGTGCTTTTATTTCCAATGTCACTGAATGGCATTCTGTTATTAAAGAGTGCTTTTTCTAACTGCAACAATACATTAGATTCAATTTTACAACCTGTAATGATTTCTAATTTTCATTTTCTGACAGCAGCAAACAATCACTTTATAGGGAAAGATCCTTTCCCCACCCCAATCAGAACTGAAGTCAAGCAACTACTTACCACCTGGATCCTCACATAAGGCACTCTCAGTGAGTCAGAGGACAATAAGGTAAAATTTTATAAAATAATAGCCAATATGAGGTAGCCACTATTATCCTCACTCCACATTTTTTACAGATGAGGAAATGGAGCTCAGAGAGGTTAAAAGACACTTGCTTAAGTCTATAAGGAATTAGCACAATTCACATCCAGGGACCCCCAACTCCAGAAGCCCTGGCCTATAAGCTCTATACTATTTATTCAAAAGAATTGCTGTATCTTATTCAACTCACAAATACTTCAGAAGCTATAAATTAGAAGACTAATTAGTGAATAGCACTTCTCCCAGATATTAAATAACAGAATCCAGGTATTTTGTTTACTACTACAGGAAGAACTGCTTTGAGAGAAGTTAAAATTGCAGATTCCTCAGAGTCATCTCTTAGAAATTCTAATTCTATCTGACATGCCAGGTGATTCTGATGGTTATTCTCAGACCATATTTTGAGAAATATGGCTCTAGCTAAGTAGATATCTACCATCATGTTCATTAGATTAGATTCTCAAGTAGCCCTACACTGAGCAGCTTATCACCTAGGTTGAGTACTGTTCGTCACTCTGACCCTCTCATCTATAAAATGGAAATAATATTTACCTAGGCATGCTGGGAAGAATAAATGAGCAAGGAGAAAATATTAAAAATGAAACATTTTAAAATAATTATGAAGATGGCCGGGCTCGGTGGCTCAGCCTGTAATCCCGCGCCTTTGGGAGGCTGAGGTGAGTGGATTGCCCGAGCCCGCAGGTTCGAGACCCGCCTGGGCAGGCGAGACCTCATCTCTACAATAAATCAAAAAATTAGCCGGGCGTGGAAGCGCGTGCCTGTAATTCCGGCTACTCAGAAGGCTGAGGCGGAAGGATCACTGGTGCCCAGCAGGTTGAGGCTGCGGTGGCCGGGAGCGGCCACTGCACTCCAGTCTGGGTGACAGTGAGACTCCAACTCAAAAAAAAAAAGAATTATGAAGATGAATCACTCCTACAAAATACAAAAACATACTATTAGATTGAGCCATATGAAAATGCTACTACCTGGCCATTTTTGACCTATAAAAACAGCAATTTCATATAATTCAATCAAATATAAAATTATAGTAATTATTTAAACACGGTATAATTACTAGGCAGACCAATAGAGTACAGAAGAGCACATTTGTGAAAAAGACCCATGCATATATTGAAATTTAGTTTACTCGAGTGGTATTTCAAATAAGCGTGCTTTTTTTTTTTTTTAACAAACAGGGTCTTACTGTGTTGCCCAGAGTGAAGCGCAGTCGTATGATCCTGGCTCACTGCAGCCAGGACCTCCTGGCTTCAAGTGATCTTTCTGCCTCAGTCTCCCAAGTAGCCAGGACTATAAGCTCAACTGTTCTATAAATGAATAATTGTGACAGCTGGCTACCTTTTGGAAAAAAGTAAAGTTAATCTTCCCTTCAGCTCATACTTCAAAATGACCTATAGATGGACCAAAGAACTAAATGTAAAAAAAAAAAGGAAAAAAAAAAGAACAATATTTGGAGAAATTATTTTTATAAGCTGGGCACGGTGACATGTCTATAGTCTCAGCTACTTTGAAACCTGAGAAAGATCACTTGGGCTCATGAGTTTGAGGCCAGCCTGGGCTACACAGCAATACCACACCTCTACATTGAAAAAAAGTATCTGTATAATCTTGAGTAGGAAAGATCTTTGTAAGGAAGACATATAATCCAGAATCCAGAACAATATGACATGATAAATATCAAAATGAAAAAAACTATCTGGTGAAAAAGAAAAACAGCAGATGGAGAAAATATCTGCCACATATAAAATAGACAAAAAATTAAAATCCAGAATATGTAGAGAACTATAACTCAAAAAAGCAAAAGCAAACAAACAACAGAAGAACAGGCAAAGGATATAGGCAAACAATCCAAAGAATAAGAATTACTAATATTATTAAGTACATAAAAGGCTGCACAACCTCAATAGTAGATTTTTTTTTAAAAAGCTAACTAAATTAGCAATATATGACCCTTGGCAAGGCATTACCAGAACCCATCTCAACCCCAGTAGAGAGTTAGCATCAGAGTCATCTTACCTTTGACATATAGTAACGATTAACTCCGGAGACACGTCTGTCTCTTTCCATCAAACTCCAGAAATAGGGATAATGGGCAACCCTTTTTTCCTTCAAATAAAAGACAATTATTTTTACAGCTTACAAACATGAGTGACCCAATGGATAGATATTATAATTTCTAAAAAGTGACATTCTAGAGACATGGAATCATCACTGAAATAAAAGCCCAAATTGCCAGATGCAGTGGTTCATGCCTGTAATACTACCACTTTGGAAGGCCGAAGCAGGATTGCTTGAACTCAGGAGTTCAAGACCAGCCTGGGCAATATAGCAGGACCTCTTCCCTACAAAAAATGAAAAAAATTAGCCGAGTGTAGTGGTACATGACTGTAGGCCCAGCTACTTGGGAGGCGGAGGTGGGAGGATCGCCTGAGCCCAGCAGGTCGAGGCTGTGGTGAGCCATGATCGTGCCACTGCACTCCAGCCTGGGCAATAGAGTGAGACCCTGACTCAAAAAAAAAAAAAAAAAAGCCCAAATTAACAAAACCAGAGTCTGTTAAATAAAATCAGAGCGCTAAAGTTTAAAATTAAGTTGGTAACTATGACTTCTTACCCTACTTTAAACCAAAATCATTGGAATTTTTCTCCCCCCTTTTTTTTTTAAAGAAATATCCAGTTGCCTTTGAGATCCTAAGAAACAACAGTAGATCACACAAGAGGGACAGTCACAAAACCAAAAAGCAAATACATATTTATACTTCGTACTCTAGAGGTGATGTCAAGAACTAGGAAGTGGAGGAAAGAGTCCTGATATTTAAAAGAAATTTAAAGTGTTTTGCAGTAAATTCCTAAAGGTTTGCAAGTCAAGGGAAAGCCCTATTTAAGGTAGGAAAGAAGGGGGAAAACAAACAAACAAACAAACAAAGAAGCTACAGAAATGTGGTTATGAGAAAATAAAGCCAAAATCGAGCAAGAAAGATCTGAGTTCGGAAGGAATGAGGACAAGACTGACGCCTCCCTCCCTTGCCTAGGAGGGAGGGAGTTTGGAACTACCTCTTCTAAGCTACCCTTCCCGTCCCCGAATCGCTACTCTACCCTAAGACCCACTCTTCACCCAGAAACTAGGTGCTCTGCACGGGAACAGGATGTGGTTTCTGTCAGGCTCCATTCCGCAGGCCTCCGCTTCTAGGCAACTGGAAGAAACCGGAAAGCCGACCGCGGTAGTCCCCACCTCGGAGAGGCTCCGCACACGGCCTCCGTCCCCGCCACCTTTCTTACCTTGCCCCCATTGGTGAACTTGTGGATGTAGGCAGTGCCCACTCCGGGAATGAGCAAGCACACGCCCATGGCGGCCAATCCAGGGAGAATCTCGAACCACATCTGGACACGATAATTAGGCCACAACCCTTTTAGACCCCTTAAAGGTGACCGGACTTCGGCTCCCTTCCCGGTAAGCTCCGCGACAGCTTGGGCAGGGGGCGGTGCCACGTATGGCTGCGCAGGAAGCGACGGGATCCGCCAGGGCTCAAGAGTGGCTGGCGCTCGCGCTCGCGCAGTAGTCGGTCCGCGGCCTCTGCAGGCCCGACTTGCGGCTGAGCGCGCCGAGTGACTTGCAGAGGCCCTGCTCGACCCTAGCACGCCGCAGCAGTTTCGGAGCTCCGAACTCTAAAATGGCAGAGCAGCTTTCTTCAGGAAAGACAGCAGATCAGGTGTGCACCTTCCTTTTCAAAAAGCCTGGTCGCAAAGGGGCTGCAGGTCGCAGAAAGCGCCCGGCCTGTGACCCAGAGCCCGGAGAAAGCAGCAGCAGTAGTGACGAAGACAGCCCTGTGGTTCGACCGGAGAAGAAGCGGACGACCCACAATCCGATGATCCAGAAGACCCGTGGCAGTGGTAAACAGAAGACGGCTTACGGCGATTTGAGCAGCGAGGAAGAGGAGGAGAAGAATGAACCTGAGAGTCTCGGCGTGGTTTATAAATCCACCCGCTCGGCGAAACCCGTGGGGCCAGAGGACATGGGGGCGACCGCTGTCTACGAGCTGGACACAGAGAAGGAGCGAGACGCACAAGCCATCTTCGAGCGCAGCCAGAAGATCCAGGAGGAGCTGAGGGGCAAGGAGGATGATAAGATCTATCGGGGAATCAATAATTATCAGAAATACATGAAGCCCAAGGATACGTCTATGGGCAATGCCTCTTCCGGGATGGTGAGGAAGGGCCCGATCCGAGCGCCTGAACATCTACGTGCCACAGTGCGCTGGGATTACCAGCCAGACATCTGTAAGGACTACAAAGAGACTGGCTTCTGCGGCTTCGGCGATAGCTGCAAATTCCTCCATGACCGTTCAGATTACAAGCATGGGTGGCAGATCGAACGTGAGCTTGATGAGGGTCGCTATGGTGTCTATGAGGACGAAAACTATGAAGTGGGAAGCGATGACGAGGAAATACCATTCAAGTGTTTCATCTGTCGCCAGACCTTCCAAAACCCAGTTGTCACCAAGTGCAGGCATTATTTCTGCGAGAGCTGTGCGCTGCAGCATTTCCGCACTACCCCGCGCTGCTATGTCTGCGACCAGCAGACCAATGGTGTCTTCAATCCAGCGAAAGAATTGATTGCTAAACTGGAGAAGCATCGAGCTGCAGGGGAGGGTGATGCTTCCGATTTCCCAGAGGACCCCGATGAGGATCCAATTCCCATTACTTAGATTTCTCATAATTCTTACATTTTAAAAATAAACATTTTGTTGTTCTTTTGGAAATCTTAATTTGTGTCCTTCCTTTTTAGGGAAAGTGACAGAGAAGGTGGGTGGTGAAATAGGGTCCCGGATTAAAAGCTTCATGGTAGGTATAATCTGGATTTTCTAGCCCCGGGAAAAACACTTTGCCTGTGTTTCTTTTCAGAACCCTTTGGCATAAATTACAGGGATGGGAGAAGTATGAGAAAAGAGTTAGGATTTGCTTGAAGTAACCAAAGTTGTGATGAAAGCAATATCTGAACCTATCATCACATTTCTGTATCATGTAATAGTTTAAAGTAACTTCTTTGTAAACTATACAAAGAAGTTACTTTGTAAACTATTCTTGTATTCTTTCTCTTGGGAAACTACTATTTCAAAATATACCCAAGCCAAGGTGTGTGTTGGGGCGGGGGTGGAATTGGGTTTGGGAAACTGGTAGCTAGCACCATAGGGCTGGTGTATGGAAACAATCTTTGCTGTCTTGGACGCACCTGTAAGGTAATGCCCCCTTCCATGGATGATGGAAATGTTCTGTGCTATGCTATCCAATATGATAGACACTAGCCCCATGTGGATGTTGAACACTCAAAATGTGGCTAATGGCTGTTCTAGACTGAACTTGTGAACATGCAGAGGGCAAAAAATGAACATTTCATAATCCAGTGCCTGAAACTATTCTCACAGACTGTAGTAGAGCTGCTCATGCCCTATTAAAATTATTCTGTGTACTTGTCTTCCTAACTAGTTTGCGAACTCAGTAACTAGCCTAACGCTTGGCATATAATAAGCACTTAAAAAGTAAGCCCAGACAGTTTTAAAAGGAAAATTGGTGCCAAAGCCTTGAATCCAAGCTAAGGAGCTTTGACTGTAAGTTGTAGGTGATGGGGAGATAGCAGAGGTTTAGAGAGGGAAACACAATCAAACTTGTCTTTTGGGATTTTTTTTTTTTTTTTTTTTTTTTTTTAGTTGGAGTCTCTGTCGCCCAGGCTGGAATGCAGAGGCCCGCTCATGGCCACTGCAACCTCGATCTGCTGGGCTGAGGCGATCCTTCCGCCTCAGCCTTCCTAGAAGCTGGAACTACAGGCATGCGCTGCCACACCCAGCTAATTTATTGATTTATTATAGAAACAAGGTCTCGCCAAGTTGCCTAGGCTGGTCTCGAACCTGTGGGCTCAGGCAGTCCTCTCACCTCAGCCTCCCAAAGTACTAGGATTATAGGCACGAGCCACCACGCCTGCCCCAAACTTGTTTTTTAACGTTGCTGTGGTTACTATACTATATGGTACTATAGTGGATGGAAGACAAGAAGCAAGGAGACCAGTTAGGTCAATGATTAGGAAAGTGATATTGATATGACTAGAATTTAGGTTAATCCCAGGAAACAGATACAAGAATAAATTGGGGGTTAGAAAGGTCCTTATTCACATTCATTAACCCACTTAAAGATATCTGCCCACGTTAGCTGGGCTCGGTGGCTCAGCCTGTAATCCTGTGCTTTGGGAGGCTGAGGTGAGTGGACTGCCTGAGCCCGCGGGTTCGAGACTCACCTGGGCAACTTGGCGAGACCTCATCTCTACAATAAATAAATAAAAAAAATCAACCGGGCATGGTAGCGCATGCCTGTAATTCAGGCTACTCGGAAGGCTGAGGCAGAAGGATCGCCGGAGCCCAGCAGGTCGAGGCTGCGGTGGCCGGGAGCGACCACTGCACTCCGATCTGGGCGACAGAGTGAGATTCCAACTCAAAAAAAATAAAAAAAGATATTCTTTCAGCAGCTACTCTATGTGCTTGATATGGAGAATGTCAGCAGTGAACAAGATAGACACAGCCCCTGCCCTCATGGAGCTGGACATTAAACAATGCCAAGTGTCATGAGTACAAGAAAAAAGTGCACTGGGTTGATCTCTCAGAATTAACCTGATCTCAGCCTTGTAGAAGTTCTAAAACAAACTCACTTGTGTATCAATGTATATGACACGTTATGTCATGAAGAACATATTAAATATGATGGGGATATGAGAGAAATCTACTTAAGAAAGTATCACATAGGAAACATTTTTTTTTTTTTGAGTTGGAGTCTCGCTCTGTCGCCCAGACTGCAGTGCAGTGGCCGCTCCTGGCCACCGCAACCTCGACCTCCTGGGCTCCGGCGATCCTTCCGAGTAGCCGGAATTACAGGCATGCGCTACCATGCCCGGCTGATTTTTTGATTTATTGTAGAGATGAGGTCTCGCTGCCCAGGCGGGTCTCGAACCCGCGGGCTCAGGCAATCCACTCACCTCAGCCTCCCAAAGGCGCGGGATTACAGGCTGAGCCACCGAGCCCAGATAGGAAACAACATTTAAAGAATGAGTAAAAAGAACAACAGCAGAATAGGAAACAGGAAAAGACATTGTAGAGGCAGATGGAGAAATGAGAGTACACTTGCTGTGGAAGGCAAGGGAGGAAAGTGTTTTGAAAAGTGTCATGGAAATAAATATGGCAACGAGTAGCAAAAGAACCATTTTTTTAAAAAGTTAAATTTTCTTTACTATTTTTTTTTTTCTTTTTTTTTTTAGTTGCGGGGGGTCTCACTCTGTTGCCCAGGCTGGAGTGCAGTGGCACATTCACAGCTCACTACAGGCTTGATCTCCTGGGCTCAGGCGATCCTTCTGCCTGAGCCTCCCAAGCAGCTAGGACTACAAGTGTGTGCCACCATGCCCAGCTAATTTTTTTTTTTTTTGGTAGAGATAAAGCCTCCCTATGTTGCCCAGGCTGGTCTCAAACTCCTGGCCTCAAGTGATCCTCCCACCTTGGCCTTCCAAAGTGCTGGGATTACAGGAGTGAGCCACTGTGCCTGGCCTTTTTCCTACTAAAAACAGTTATTCCAAATAATAAAGCTTTATGGAAAAGATATATTTTGAATTGTTATCTACTATATAAACTGAGAAAAAAAGGTCCACGAAAAAACACAGATGAAAGAATGCTGCTGGCTAGAACAAAGAATGGACAGAATTAACAGCATACATCAAGCTAGACTTAAAGAGCTGAGATGAAAAAAGAGGAGAAAGACATTTGTCTACCCCACATAACTTTTTTTTTAAGTTGGGGTCTCACTCTGTCACCCAAGCTGGAGTGCAGTGGCACTATCACAGCTCACCGCAGTCTCAATCTCCTAGGCTTAGGCGAGCCTACTGTCCTGACCTCCCAAGTAGCTGGAACTACAGACATATGCCACCATGCCTGGATTATTTATGTGTTTGCTTATTTGTTTATTATTTATTTAGAGTTGGAGTCTCACTCTGTCGCCAAGGCTGGAGGGCAGTGGCACGCTCATAGCCATCACAGCCTCAACCTTTTGGGCTTAGGCAATCCTTCCACCTCAGCCTTCCAAGTAGTCGGAACTACAGGCACATGCCACCATGCCCAGCTAATTTTTTTATTTATTGTAGCGATGAGGTCTCGTCAAGTTGCCCAGGCTGGTCTCGAACTCATGGGCTCAGGCAATCCTCTCATCTTGGCCTCCCAAAGTGCTGGGATTATAGGTGTGAGCCCCGGCCAATTTTTTTGTTTATTGTAGAGACAAGGACTCACCAAGTTGCTGTTCTCAGACCCTGGGCTCAGGCAATCCTCTTGCCTCTGTTCCCAAAGTGTTGGTACCACCACGCCCAGCTTAACTTTTTCTTTCTTTAAAAAGTAGAGATCTTGGCCAGGCACGGTGGCTCACACCTATAATCTCAGCACTTTGGGAGGCTGAGGTGAGAGGATTGCCTGAGTCCATGGGTTCGAGACCAGGCTGGGCAACTTGGTGAAACCATGTCTCTACAATAAATCACAAAAACTAGCCGAGCATGGTGGTGTGCATCTGTAGTTCCAGCTACTTGGAAGGCTGAGGGGGAAGGATCACCTAAGCCCAGCAGGTCAAGGCTGTGGTGGCTGTGAGTGTGCCACTGCACTCCAGCCTGGGTGGCAAGAGTGATACTCCAACTCAAAATAATAATTCACATACAATGTAATTCACCATTTTAAAGTGTCCACTTAAGTAGTGTTGTTGTTGTTGTTGTTTTTGAGTAAGAGTCTCACTGTTGCACAGCCTCGAACTGCTGGGCTCAGGGGGATCCTTCCGCCTCAGCCTTCCAAGTAGCTGAACTGTTATGGTCTCAGTAATACTCGGCTGCTCTTCTTTGATACCAATAAATCAAAGGGGCAGGAGACTGGTAGAGAGAAGTTTATTTTTGAATTCGAATCCAGGGAGCAGAGCCAGACTCAAGGTCTTTCTAAAATGGTTTTGCCCACCCTTCCAGCTTTGCACTCCACTTTTATAAGTCCAGAGTTGTTGGTTCCTATACATTAGCCATGTGACAACTAGCAGAACGTTGTATAGAGCTTAAGTTACAACTGCATTTTACCAATAGTGACATTTCATGGTCCAGACTTCCTGGTGCCATGTACCAGATGCATGTCACAGCTTTTATCAGTAAGGTCAGGCAGGTAAGGTTAATCAAACTTGCCATGGAGTAAAGGGAGTTTACAAGGCTTAAGACATCATGCATTACACAAAAGTTATACAAATCACAAAACTTCTGATTACACTGATACAAAAGTTATACAATCACACGACTTATGATTACACTGATGCTATATTATTCAAACCTATGACATCTTTGGGCATAATCTGCAGGAAACTCAAGGATCCCACGAGGCTACTTACTGGGTATGCAGAGGAGATAAGGGAACTCAGGAATGTGCAGGAATGCTTGTGCCCTTGCCATGCCTTTCTCTAGGGGCTGTGGCAATATGATACAGATATTAGCATGTCTCTGTATCAGAACCACAGGCGTGCACCACCATGCCCAGCTAATTTTTTGATTTATTGTAGAGAACGTGGTCTCACCAAGTTGCCCAGGCTGGTCTTGAACCCCTGGGCTCAGGCAATCCTCTCAACTCCACCTTCCAAAGTGCTGGGATTACAGGTGTGAGCCACTGCGCCCAGCTCCACTTAAATAGTTTCTAGTGTATTCACAAGTTTGTGCAATCACCACCAATAT